TGTAGGAAAGATTAATAATAGAAATGGCATAGGTATCATAGTTACCGGAATCTCTCCACCGACCTCACGTTTCTGGTTTCGAAACCTGATTTCGCGTTTCCGTTAAAGAATCTCCAAGGAAATTGTTTTCAGAACCAAGGAAACTCGATTCCTTAATTTCAGAATCTCTATTTGACACATCATTAGAAATTATTTTTCAGAACCAAGGAAACTCGATTCCTTAATTTCAGAATCTCGATTCAACACAAATTTAGAAACCATTTATCGGATCCAAGGAAACTCGAATCCTTAATTTCGGAATCTCGATCCAACATATCTTTAGAAACTTCAACCCTGTAATTGTGGGTAGATGCTCCCATATGTATCGAATCTAGATTACAACGAGGATTAAATCTTGATTCCATGTCAATTGGAGTAAATGTCTTCCTTCGAATGCTTTTAGCGGTTGCATGGTTTCATTATTTTACTTGTGCCACCCTGTATGGCTTTTACTTTAAATTTAAAATATAACTGATAAATACAACACATATAATTAAAAGTAAAACCATGTCGTAGATATAATCCTATTTTGTCTTTATAATAATGAAGTCAAAATCACAGTTTAGAAATACTTGTCTTTTGTATATAATGATCGTAAGTTCGACAGTCAACACAATCACTTTAAAATTTGGAAAACCTTCTAATGAGAGACATCCAATATAGGTTCTAAAGTTGATGATGCACAAGATGTGTTGTGGCTTCCTTCTCCATAAAAATGAAATCTCGATTCCTAGTAGGGGTCGTCAAACGCATTCCATAGTCCATATTATTATAAATCTTGATCTCAAACTGGCATGGATCTTTGATCCATATACTTCAGAAACATGATTCCAAATATGTTAGAATCACGATACGAAATAGCAGCATATCTATGTTTCATATATGTCAGAAGCTCGATTCCATAGATGTCGAAAACTAGATTCCACATATTAATGAATCTTGATTTCTGGAGTGTCGATTCTAGGGGGATGGGAATCTCGATTCCATATGTGGATGAAACTTGGATCTATATCAATTGAAATACGATTCTCAAAAACTAGGAATCTCGTTCCTAGCGATTCCTATTGTACAGACAAGGATTCCTAATATATAAATCTTCTAACAGGCCATGATTTTGTGATTCCGATTCCTAAAACAATTCGGGCTCCCAGGCGTTTCCAACAACTATAGTAGGTATAATAGTCGACAAAGATTTAAAGGATAATGCAGTATAGGTTAAGAAAGTAGGTGATAGGCTCTTGCCAATTAAAATTGTATTAGGAGGGAGATAAATCAATATAATTAGTGCTTATATGCCACCGGTAGGATTATAGGATAAAATTCAAAGACAATTTTGAGAGGACATGGATGGACTAGTACAAGGAATACCAAATGGAGAGAGGAACTTTTTAGGAGAGGACTTAAAAGGCCATATGGAGAAATATGAAGGGTACATGGAGGCTATGGATTTGGAGAAAAATTGAAATAGGTGATGTTATTCTTGATCTTGCTATGGTTTATAATCTAGCAATAGCAAACGCCTACTTTAAAAAGAGAGATAAAACACTTAATAAATTACAAAAGTGGATAATATAAAAGTCAAATAGACTTTTTACCAATTAAGAAGACAGAATGATCATCATGTGAAGACTATAAGGTTATCCCAAGAAAGAGTTTGCCCACACAATATAGGCTCATGGTTATTGATGCTTGCATTAAGAGATAGAAAAGGAGTGACATTAATGACTGCCTAAGAACAAGGAGGTGGAACTTAAAAACGAAAATAGATTTCTTTAAGAATAAATTGATAAAAGAAAGAGAATAGATTTATGAAGACGAAGTTGATGTTACGTGGAATGAGATGGTAGATTGTATAAAGAAAATGGCAAAAGAAGTTTCAAGAGAATCTATAGAGAAAAGACTTTCAAATAAGGAACCATGGTGGTGGAATGATGAGTTTCAAAGGCTATTAACGAAAAACAATTATGTTACAAAGTTTGCAAGGGAATAGCAATGATAAAAATTTAAAAGATTATAGAAATGCCAAGAAGAACGTTATGAAAATAATAACGCTAAGCTCAACCCATATGAGGATCCAGATAATAAACTAAAGACAAAATAAGCTGAAAAATATATCTTCAAATTAGCATAAATGAGAAAGGATGTTTAATGACCTAGATCACGTTAAATGCATTAAACGTGAGGATTAAAAGGTAATGGTGAAGGATGATGAGGTGAATAAAAGGTGAAGAATCTATTTTAGAATGGTTAAATGACGACCACTTTGGGAGCACAACATTAGGAGGAAGCATTGACAAAAATGATGCCGAGGTCGTAGATACTTTTATAAGACTAAGATGTTTGAAATGAAAGAAGCTTTGAGAAGGATGATTACAGGAAATGCTTTAGGACCAAATAGAGGTTAGGAAGTGCTTGGGAGAGATTCTCATAGCCTGGTTGACCAAGTTGTTCAATAACATTTTGAGAACAAAGAAAATGCTAAACAAATGGAGAAAAAGTACAATGGTACTAATTACAAGAACAAATGAGACATACAAAATTGTACAAACTATCGAGGGATCAAATTTATAAGCCACATCATGAAACGAGTGTATCAAGAAACCAATTGGGATTTATACCAGGGAGGTTAACCATTGAGGCTATTTTCCTACTTAGGCAATTGATTGAGAAGTTTAGGAGAAGAATAAAGACTTCCACATGTACGACATGGTACATAGGGAAATAATTTGGTAGGTATTGTAAAAGAAAGGAGTCATATATACATATTCTTGGGTATGTTTGGCTATGTTCTACTCAATCGTGCAAAATAAAAAATTTATAATTTATTGTGTGGCTATGTTTGGCTTTGTTTCTAGCTTTTAATTCAAGAATGAAAATTTATAGTACACTTTTGTCTACGTTTGGAGTTATTTCCATTGTACGATGCAAATTTATTTATAATATATTTTTGTCTATAATTTTTTGGCTGTTTATAATTTATAATGCAAAATCAAACATTCTTTATGCATGTTTGGTTATTTTTTGCTTTTTATAATGTATAATGCCAAATTGAAAATATTACTACATGTGCACCTAAGTTTGCTATGTTTTCAATTTGTAATACAAAATTTGGCAATATTTCTCAATGTTTGGCTATGTTTCTATTTCAAAAATTTAGCTAAACTAACAATTCATATTTCCTAACATATTTTTTTGCTAAGTTTGACTGCATTGAGTTTTTTTATACTTTCAGGTTATCTTGAGTGCTGACTCTTGAGTTGTCACATACTCATACTCACAAGGTCGGCTCCTAGTTCCACTGGGAAACAGATTCGAGAGAGTGCATTGTTTGAGGATTGCCCCCATGGGAAGGTGGATGCAAGGTTACGAGGATTGCCCCCAAGGGAAGGTGGATGAAAGGTTCGCATTTGCCCCCAAAAAATCCACCTGGCTCCCGAGGCTCCAAGGTTGAGTTCACTCATGAACTGGTGTCCTAATTTTAATAGTTAACATATTCAAAAAACAAAAAAACAAAACTCGTGTGCTAATTTTTGGATTGCAGGAAACCTAGATGAGATCCTCATCACAAATCACCTCTTTTTACACTGTTCTTGTGTGTTCGTACATGACTTGTGACTTCTTACTGACTTGTTGAAGGCTTCCTAACCAATGCCAGAACCAGTGGATGGTCTCATAGGCAATCTTTAGTAATGTAAATTGCTGCGTAAACAAGTTTGCCTATGCTCATGTCCATCTTCTAGGGTATATGGATTATGGAAAGTAATAATTAAAAGGATCTTCACTGTGCAAGCATTTAAGTTGTGAACAGCTTAAGACTTGAGGAATGCATCACTGTTGTAATTTTGTGGGCATTCACCCTCCAAGGTTGTGTGGCGTTAAAGCAGGGGGCAATTGTTAATGGAATACAATAGCTAGAGTTTCCAACCCTAGAATCACACCTGGGACCTTAGTTAAAGCATACATAAGACAGCTCCCATAAAACCCAGGTACACAAGGAAAGGTCGCATAATTAGGGAAAGCCTAGGTAGAAATCTTAACAGAGAGAGAGACCATCTCTGGGGATTAACTAACATCATGTTGGATATTTTCAAGAAAAGAGAATGTGGGCCCCCATTTTATTTCCATCTCCTTAGACAAGCCAAAACAAGGTGGGTTACATCAGTAAAGGAGCTAGGGGATTCCAAATGAGGTACCCTTTCTCCTTGTAACCATTTGACATGTTTTCTTGTTTGTTTATTTTCCTTTTCAAGCACCATCCCCATGCCCCTGTTCTTCAAGTAATTTAATGCAACCCTTCTAATTCCAAAGTCATCCATCAAAATATAGAGAACATAATAATAGTCATTAAAGCATTATGATATTTCTCATTTCTCATAGGCATGTCAATGGGGTAAAAATAACTCACTGCATCATAGCCCTTTGCTATTTGAATATTTTAAATTTCTATGGGGATAGAGCCCCTCAGCCCCCATACCTTGCTCATTCCCAATGTTCATTGCTACATTTTTTTTATAAAAAATAATACTGAATTAAATAAAATTAAATGTCCAAAAATACACACGCATGAAAAAAAATGGAATGAAAATCCCAGAAGCATATAAAAGAATATTTCAAGAGCCACACAGAAAAAAAGAAAAAATTGAAGATTCGTTCTCTTTTTATATTCTCCTTTTTTATTATGTTACGTACTTTCTAAAATAGTCAATATTTCATTTGGATGCTTTTGATATTTTTGCGCTCTTCTATTTTTCCAGAATTTTTCTATTTTCATTTTATGACTTCCATAGTTGTTTCTTTTTCCCCCAGTTTTCCTTGAAAATCAGGCCTACATGCATATCGCACAAAAATCACTAAGAGCAACCCGTACAGAATCAATGTACAGTGATATCATTAATAGAACTTCAATAGCTTAGCGGCAAAGAATTTGAAAACTTGAAGATCCCAATGAACAAGTTACGCACCCATGTGATGGCAGTTAACCGCGTAAACTCATCTGGGGAAGATGCTCTCTGTACTAATATCTCGGCCATGCGCCCGTAATCTACAGACTGAAGAGTAGCACTGCTTAAGTCAGAAAATTAATGTATTAAATACACTCAAGGACACAGGCACACAGCCTGAGAACTAATGGATCAGACATAAGGATCTACAGAGAAAGAGACAATCCTATCCCAAATATTCACATGCATAAATCCAAAAAATTGGAGAGTAAAAATTTGTAACTCAAGCTTCCTCACTAACTGAGACACATTACAGAACCCAATATTATAGAAAATGCAGATTGTTTTTACCAGGACGCATCCTGCTTAATTAGCACTTTAAAACATCCAAATGTTTCCAGGAATGCCTCCTAGCCATTTAAAACATAGTTGGGACAAAAGGAAGGGGTAAAAGGTCGAAAACCATATAATTATCTGCCACAGCAAGAACCAACACTTACTGGAGAGTTTTTAATCTCTTGTAGGAACTCTGAAAGTGCAAAATCAGCTTGCTGCCGAATTTCATGACTTGAATCACTCAACATGTTGAACAGACCTAACAGTTTGATTCAGATTTCACAAGTAAGCAACCAACAATTGAAATTCAGGAGCGGTGCTTTACAGGAACATGTTTACCATCAAGAAAATCTGGAAGAAAACCCAGCATATCAATGTCAGGTACGCTGTCCAAAACTGTGATCCATCCCACCAAAAATTGACGTACATAAGGATTCAGAACATTCATGCGCTCCCTTAGCAAAGGTATAAATTCCTCAATGCTGGAAAGAGCAACGAAGTGTCAGAATAAAGTCCTGAAATCATTGATATTTCCTCTTTCACCAATCACCTATGTCCAGTTCAGCTAGTGCAAAAACAAGATGAACTATAAAGTAAGAGAGTGCACCTGAATTGGTCACTTTCAGTTACAATATCCTGATCATCAATTAAACCCATATTGTAGTTACAAGAGCAATCACTAAGACAACCAACACGAAAGCATGATGAACAAGATAAATCATAACATCAGCATACCTTCACAAGCCGATCTAAAAGATGTGCAGCACTCTGGACATTAGCATCTGAGTCTGCTGATAGCTTGCAAAGTGCATCAAATATCTGATTGAAAAATACAATGAAGTCACCTCTTACAACCTACAAGAACGAGCAAGAATAAGGCTTAGATAAACCCCAATGTCTAAAAAGCATTCACCAGAAATAGACCACCCACTGATCCACCTTTGCTATGTTATATAGTGCTTCACAAGCATAATATCGGACCCTGCTATCTTGGTCTGAAAACGAATTCAGCACGGGCGGAACAATTTGCTGGAAGGTCACAATATCACAAAATACAGAGTCAAATTCTCCAGAAACAGATAAATAGTTCAAGAGCAACCAAGATACTCATTGCAAATATTGAATGTCAGATTTAGCATTATTACCCTACATGCAGGTTTCTTAATAAGTTATCTCAAAAAACATCAACTAAATCAAGGCAACAGGACTAAAAGAAGATAAATGAGTGAAGACAACACGAGAAAGAATTCCTATGAAATCGTCTCAAAAAGTTTGCCTGTTCTACCAGATAAAAGAATAAATACCTACATAAATTATACATATGAAAAGAGGGACGAATGCCCTACAGATGACAAACCTTGCCTCCAGGCTGTCCAAACGCCCCAAATCCAAAACAAACGAAATAATAATAACACTGGACAAAAGATACATGCATATTTCTGAAGAAATATGATTAGCATAAATCATGCTCCAGGTCTCAACACCATTCCATAAACCATACTTCCCTGAAGAACAAGATTTTGCATTCCTGTTCACTTAATATACAATTTCCTCCCTTTGAGATATTGACAGTTTTTAATAAACCAAGCATACCAAAAAGGACATGACAAAACGTAGTAATGGCTTCCCAAAATGGAGAAGAATTAGCAGATATTAGAAAGGTGTCAATATCATTATGTTTCCATACACACAATCCCGTAGTAAAATATCTGCGTAGGTAAAATAAAACAACTATCCACGAGATCTGGGATTTCCTTGGGGGAACTGTGAAAGAAGGGGAGGCATGCCAGGTTCAGAAAGTAACAAACGGCAGGACTGCACCATAGTTAATGGAATCTGGAGCGGGAAAGGAGCATCAAATCATTTCCTGCGAGCAGCTCCCTAGTTACGGAGTGGCATGAAAGCATCCATACAAAAGATATTAAAAATAAATATTTACACTAGAAACTATGGTTAACTTAAAAAATAATTATAGGATTTTGATATTCAAGTTTCTTTCAAATTCGGTCTAGACTGAAAAACAACTCTACCAGGCAAGGTCCCAAGCCGTTCATATACCGGTCCCAAGCCCCAAGAAAGGAGGGTTGGGTTGAAGGGGCAGCCAGCATTAAACTTTTTACCACATCTATTTCATGAATCCTAACCAACGTTATATGCTCATACTAGGGCGCTCCCTGTAAGCCACGCGTTGTACCGGCATCCGAATGCAGTGAGAAATGAGCAAAGTGTTAGCTAGGACATTTCTTGAAAATGACGTATCGCAACGACGTCAGGTTGCAGTGATAAGTCGGCAAGGGTTCCTCCGCCATTTTAGACGAGTGCGGGTAAAGAAGCTAGTCCAAAAGAATAGGATTTGTCTAGCCACATAGAATGTAGAAACTCTAATAATTAAGAGTGTCGAGTTAGTGGATACAATGAGACAAAGAGAACTAATATAGCTTACTTACAAGAAACCATGTGGAAAGGGGCAAAATTAAGAAAATTGATGGATATATAAGAAACTTTAATAATAAAAATGACGTAAGTATTATGGTAGACAAAGATATAAAGAATAAGTGGTACATGTTAAGACAGAAGGTGATAAACTCTAGTTAATTGAACTTATATTAGGAGAGGAGATGATTAATATTATGCCCCACAGGTAGGATTAGAGAATAGAATTAAAAGACAATACTAGGAGGACACTGACAGAGTAGTCCAAGGAAAAACAAATGGAGAAAGGACTTTTTTAGGATGGGACTTTAATCGTCATGTAGAAAAAGATGGATATGAAAGGGTACATAAAGGAAAGAAATGAGATGGGTGATGCTATTCATTGATTTTGCCATGGCTTACGACCTAGCAATAGCAAACACCTAACTTTCGAAAGTGAGATGAACATTTAATAACTTACAGAAGTGGAACATATAAAAGCCAAATAGACTTCTTTCCAGTTAAGAAGGCAGATCAACCATCATGTAAAGACAATAAGGTCATCCCAAAAAAGTGTTTGGCCACACAACATAAACTTATGATTATGGATGTTTGCATAATGAGATGGAAAAGGCGTGAAATCAATAGGTGCCTAAGAACTAGGTGGTGTGATTTTATAAGGGAGAAAATAAATTTATTTAACAATTAGTTGATAAAAGATGGAGACATCGTTAATGTTATGTGGAATGAAATGGTTGACTGTATTAAGGAAGTGGCAAAATAAGTTTTAGTAGAATCTAAGCGGAAAAGACATTCAAATAAGGAAACTTGGTAATGGAGTGATGGACTTCAAAAGGCTAGTAACGAACAACAATCATGTTACAAGGTTTGGCAAAGGAACAGAACTGATCAAAACTTAGAACAATATAAAAATTCCAAGAAGAATGATAAAAACTAGTAAGTAAAACTAAGATTAAAGTATATGATGATCTATACAATAAATTGGGGACAAGAGAAGGTAAAAAAAGATGTCTTGAAATTAGTAAACATGAGGGAGGAGAAGTGTATGGATCTAATCTAGGATATGTTAAATGGATTAAGAGTGAGGATCAGAAAGTTTTTGTGAAGGATGGCGAGGTGAATGAAAGGTAGAGAATTTATTGTCAAAAATTGCTAAACGACGATCACTATAAAAGGGCAGTGTTTGGAGGAAAGTTTGACATGATAAGGTCGAAGGTCATAGTTACATTCGTAACATTAGGATATTTGAAGTGAAAAAAGTTTTGAGAAAGATGAAGATAGAAGAGGCTTTAGTGCCAGAATGGTATATCCCAATAGAGGGTTGGATGTGCTCAGGATAGACTGGCGTATCCTGCCTGACCAAGTTGTTCAATAAGATTTTGAGAACAAGGAAAATACCAAACAAATGGAGAAAAAGTACAATAATACCTATTTACAAGAACAAAGTCGACATAAAAAATTGTATGAACTATCAAGGGATAAATTTATGAGACACTATAAAACTATGGGAGAGAATGATTGAGCAAAAACTATGACATGAAACGAGTGTGTCAAAAAACTACTTCGATTTTATGCCTGAGAGATCAACCATCGAGGCTATTTTCCTACTTAAGCAATTGATTGAGAAGTTTAAGGGAAGACAAAAGACGTCCAAATGATCTTTATTGATTTAGAGAAAGTATGTACAGAGATAATTTGGTGGGTGCCGCAAAAGAAATGAGTCACAAAAGGATATATTAACATGGTTAGGGATATGTAAGAAGGAGCATTAACTAATGTGTGGACAACTAGTAGAAAGATAAGTGAGTTTCCTATGACAATAGGCCTACATCAAGAATCAGCTTTGAGCCCATATCTCTTCGCTTTTATTATGGATGAGTTAACTAAGCCTCTACAGGATAAAGACCGGTGGTGCAATGTTCAACGATACAGATTCAAGCACCTAGGCGGCCAAGCATCCAAAACACCTAGGCGCCCACCCAGAGATAGGATGGCCTCACCAAAACTGAACCAAACCCCCCCCCACCCTAAAAAAAAAATTAAAGGAGTTATTAGGGCATGGTTTTAAGTCTTTGGGAGTTTTTAGGGCAACTTTAGATGTCCAAACTCCTCGTGAAATAGACAAAAATGTAATAGTACAATCACATGACAGATTTATGGATACAAGTCTCAAAGAGATTGTAACTTGTAAGACATTAAAATTCTTGAAATCCAAAATATAATTATCGAAAACTAGAAGTCTAGACTACAAACGACACACAAAGTCAACAAGAAAAAATCAAACAACAAATACATCGAGTCATCAACCAAATATGTAAATATATCGTAAAAAAAAAAAAAAAGGTCAAAGAAAAAACACATGATTTGCAATATAATACGTTGTAGCAAAATAAAATCAAAACCCTCTTTCAAATATGATAATACTTTACAAATATCAAAATCAAATCGATGTTGGTGCAAACTTCATCTATTGGGTCACCAAAAGTCCTAAAAATCAACTACTAGAAGCTCTAAATCCACCCACAAACTATTGCCTTTGTTTTGGGAAGAAACTGCAAAAATCTAAACTTTATCGATCTTTCAATAAATCACAAAAGAACAGTTTTTTGGGGACTTTTTTCTCATCCTAAAAGCCACGGTTTTTATTTTGGTGGTTTAGAATACCCCCCAAAACCCTTTTCCCCCCTTTTTAGGGAACAAAAATGACATTTTTTTACCCTCGCCAAGGGTTTTTTTTGCCCTTCAGTAAATTGTCACTGGGCGGGCGCCCAGACTATAGCGCCTAGGCAGCACCTTGCCCACCTAGGCAGCGCCTTGCCCGCCTAGGCGGTGCCTTGCTCACCTAGGCGAGCACTCAGAGACAGGCCGCATAATTCTACCGCCCAGATAGCACCTAGGCTTTTTTTGAAATTTTTCGCCTAGGCGGTCGAGCGGCCGAATTTTCGAACGCTGTTATGGTGTATGTTGTTTGTAGATGACATAGCTTTAATTGATGAGACTAGAGATGGTGTCAACACAAAGTTAGAACTTTAAAGGGATGCTCTAGGATCTAAAGGTTTTTAAAGTAGCTCAACTAAGACATAATACATGGAATGAAAGTTTAGTAATGATAGGAGTAGAAGCGAGGAATCAGTTAAGATGGATGACCAAGAAGTACCTACTTATTTTTTACATCCTAGGTTGATAATCCATGAGAGTAAATAGATTGAGGAAGATGTCGTGCATATAATTACAGCTGGGTGGATGAAGTGGAAATGTGATTCCTAATTCTCATGTGATTGTCGCATAGCAATGAAATTGAAGAGGAAGTTCTATAGAACGGCTGCAAGACAAGTCATGCTTTATGGGATGGTATGTTGGGCGGTCAAGAAACAACATTTTCAAAGAGTGTGTAGCTGAGATGAGGATGTTAAGATGGATGAGTGGTAAGACAAGAAAAGATAAAATTTAGAATGACTACATCAAAGGGAACTTAGGGGTGCCTCCAATAGGTGGTAAGATGAGAGAAAGTAGAATTAAGTAGTCTGGCCATGTGCAGCATCGACCTAAAATAGCTGGGTGGATGAAGTGGAAATGTGATTCCTAATTCTCATGTG